GTTAAAAATAATATTCATGTGTTTATCAAAATTTTATTTTGTTATATTCTTCTAAGCTTATAAATTTATACATCAAATTTTCTATTAAATAATCAATGACTATTAGAAAATAAAAAGTAAATTTGTATATTATATAGGTTTTTAATTGTATTATTATGTTTGATAAACATTGACCAAAAATGCAAAGAAATGTAATTTTTATACTTATTGCTCTATATATTCATTGATGTAAATAACATATGAGAAACTTTAAAAAATGAAGATAAAAAGTGTTTTATTAAACGTGTAGAATCAACTCTTATTAAAGAATTATTCTGGGCAAAAATAGGTGTGGCTAAATATACACGAGGTAATCCTACAATGTCTAATTAATATACAGAATTTAAATTTCAGGAGATAAATTGAATAATATTTGAAAGCATTACAATTTCAGTTGTATGTTGTGTATATATATATATATATATAAGTTTTAATACATTAAATTAATCTACACAGTTATGATTAATAATAATAATTAATAATTAAGAATGTAAATAATTATATAATACGTTTTGTTTATTGGTATTTAAAAAAGTTGGTTAAAAAAAACTATATCAATTATCAATTGCCAATATTATTAATAATAACGACAATATTAAAAAAAACAATAATTATACTGAAATAACAAGAACAATAACAATAATAGTAATAATCTCAATTCATCTAAAAATGCAGATGCCACAAAAGATTACATCGGATAGAATTAATGTTTTATTGAAATTGTTGGTTGTGCTTTAGAGGTTATGTTATTTCTCCACCGATTCAATTGCAGACTAACACTATGCGTACTTGAATACCCCTAAAGAATAATGAATAGTAAATGCATCTTTAGCGCAGCCCTACACATGTATTCTTCGAGAAGGGTGAGTTTTCGGGAAAAGGAAACGGCATTATTACCAGCTAAGGTTAGTCTGACGGTCAGCGCTCGGTAAAGTCGCGCACAATAATGCTCCAGAAGACGATTTACAGGTGTTTAGCCAGTGGTGCGCTTAGGCTATTTCGTCTTGTCGCCGCCGTCCGCCCGAATCGAATTAACGAAATGTCGACGAATCGGTTTCGGCGGGGCCTCGAGCAGTGGGCGGTGCTTTTAACGGATCCCCACTCCCTAGAATCTTATCGAGCGCAGGTCGCGGTAGCCCCGCCCTCGTGAACCCCCCACCCCTCAATTCATCCCTACCATCGACGTCCGCAATTCTACGCACTCGTCGTCTCTCCACAATTTTTCTGACATTTTAAATGACGGCATTTCTTCATTTTTTTTTCTGGTCCTTTACAACTCTCCACCCTTTCCTGTTATTATAGGCTTGCACCATGCAAAGAAAACATTACCAAGCCAAACGAAATAATTACTTACATAAATTGCTGAAATCGATGGATATTGACTGAGTTTATGTGTATTTTACAGAATTATGAAAGTACCGTGTACAGCAAAGAAATTTGCTTTATGTTATATTTAATATTTTTATTTCGTGCTTTAGTGTTTTGACCGAATGGATTGATTATTCGCTCTTCATTAATTACTTTTCATTGATTTGTTATTATAATTACATATGAATAATTTTTCAAGCATCGTAAGATAGACACTTATTAAATAATAATTTATTATAGTCCTCGATAATTTATTAAAGTCCCCGATAATTTATTAAAGTCCTCGTGTCATTTCTTTCTATTTAATACTTAACATTTAAAATAATCTCATTTTCTAAAATTTGTTTATTATCGGTTAAATTAATTTCTATTAATTAGTAATGTACGCGTATAGTTTAATTTTATTCGTAATGAATATTTAACCATTCGCTCTTTTAAAATCTGTAAACATTCAAGAGATTATGAAAGAGATTAAATAATATTTTGTATGAACAGTATTAATAAAACAAATGGAAAAATGATAATATTGATGTTATCATAGCATTTAATATTATTATATAAAGTTTAATTGGTTCTATACAATAACAAATCAATCATATAAGAACATGATAAGCTGACGTAATGACAATCAGCTTGCTTTTCACATAATTCACAAAAAATTAATTGTATAACAAATTTTTCATTCTTATTTTTCTAATTATCAACTGGATTTTATTAATTTTTATTCACTTTTTTAACCAGTAGCTTAAATTAAGAATTTTTCTTAAATTCTTTGGAGATGAATTATGGAACTTTGTGCATTGTTTCAATTTATAAACGTATCAACCTAATTATAAATAATTATTTAAGTATAATTGTAAAATGTATTCCGAACAAAGCAAATCATATATTATAATCGGTTTAATACATTCAGCTAGTAAATAACCATATTGTAGTACAGTAGACGGTACATACAAAATCACATAATATCTTGATTTATCAACAACTAGTAGTACATTTTTATAATTATTTTTAAATATGGTAAATATTGTTTAAATATGTAATGAGTATCGTCTGCTTTTGTATTTTTATTTTTATAATAATTAAATTAATGAATTTAGGTAAATTGTATAATCCAACATTAAATTGTTATTGCAACATTATTTTATCGCATATGTCGGCAAAATCAAATGTTTTCATAGAATGAATACGTATTTTATAAACCATAGAAATAATACAAATAAAAAAATTTAAGTTCCTTTAATGATAAAAGCTTATGTATTATTAATTCCATTGTATTTCGTATTTCGGTAGAAAATCGAGAATAAATTTATGAGGCTACATTTTCTACGTAAATTGACTATAATAATAATATATTTTATGATGAAATTTAAAAAATAATATATATCAGAAATTATACTTAAAACTCGAACAATTTATAGTAAATTTAACGCTTCGACTGTAAAAATAATCAATTTTATACTATAATTGTCATTTAAAATTCGAGTCAATGTTATAAACATTAATTAACGCATTAATCTTATTCATATAGTGCAGTGCAAATATCGAAAATTCATTTAGTCAAAAAAATGAAAGAAAAAGAAACGGCAATCGCTAGATGATCCACGAGTGAAGATCCGAAATAAAATGCCGGAATCCAAAACGACGAGAAAAAAAAAAGAAATAGCGTAATCTAGCCCGTGTAGGCGATAAAGCAGCGGTGTACCCGGGAGTATATACACGCATGTTGCTGTGATAAAGAAAAATTCGCGAGATAAGGGGACAAAGGTGCCGCGCGATAAATCGAAAAGTGGTCCTCGTATCGGTGGATCGACGAGACGCACCCGCTTATCGCTTATCAGCCGCTTATCGCCGTGCACTGATTCTCCATGCTTTGGAAACTATAGGTGATGGCATGACTTTTGGGACTTTTCCCGCGAGACCGAGAACCAAAAGGAGATCGTAGGGTACGCCGCTTCTTTAATCATTTACGGATGTGTTTAATCAATATTCTTTGCGGCGGTGTGTAGAGATTTTCGAAGAGTTTCGAAATAAATGAATAGCTGCCTTTTACCGAGTACGTATTGAAGTGTCTTGCCGGAATGAAGTTTTGAATAAAACATTATCAAGCACTATTGCACCGATGGCATTGTCTGTGCGACAATTAACAGTAATTTTCAAATTTTTCAGATTTTTCGTGTTCATTTTTATTTTACAAATAATGGATTAGCAATTGATTAAATTTGCCACGGCAATTTATAGTATTTAATTTTGTAAATCATCAAATTCTTTGACCAAAGTTAAATTTATATGCTACATCAATTTTGGTGCTTAATTATTATTATTCATCATTCTACTTATTTATTATTGTCATTATAATTGTGATTTCATAAAAATCACGTTTCAATACTATCAATAGAATCAATACTAATTTAAATGAAAATCGGTATATCTATTTAACAATTCTTGACCACATTGCATATATATATATATATATATATATATATATTGTACGTAGCATATAAATATTTTAAAGGGACTTGCATTCGATTTATAATCGATAAAATATGAAAAGTCTTAAGATTAACAAGACAGGAGTCTATTGGGTAGTTATCGATTTTGTTGAGATTAATTCTTGATGTTTAATAAAGTGGGATGTCTATCGAAAAACAAAAGTCGATATACATTTTTACCAAAGAAAGTGGGTAGAAAAAGAAAATAATTATTACTTTACACACTCTTTATTAATTTCATAAACATCATCAGCATCATCGTTATCATTATCATCATTATCACTATTATTACCGTTATCATAATTATTATTATAATTGTTATTGTTATTTTTGTTACCTACGTTCTAACCGAAGTAAGGTTACACTATCCAGTGCTACTAATTGTTGTTTGATCTATTCATTTCCTATTTGTCAGCAATAAGACATATCTTGATGTTAACAAATAATCATGGAATTTCCATGCTGAAAGAAAACAATATCAAAATTATTTATTCATAAAACGTAGCGTCATGTTGATATTTCAGAAAAACAATATACCCATTAATTGTTATGCAAAAGTTTACTTGCATTGAACAAGATGTAACATAGCTCGCAAATACAATAATCCGTATTTTATTAATAGTTTATTTGAATACATCGGCTAATTAAGTGCTCGATCGGACATCCATAAGTTGAGTTTTTATAAACTTTAGAGCGCATAAATTTTAAACCCGTAGTTCCTAATGTTACTGTAACTTCATGTGACCTACGGCATGATACACTTGCAGCATTAAATGTAACTAAACGATCTACATAATCTATATTCATGAATTCGTTTAAGTATAAAAACTTTTCACCAATTCCAAAGCCTGATGAACTATCTATTGAACTTTCGCACTATTCTTTTGCCCATATAGTCGGTACTTGTTTTTTAAAAATAGTCTAACCATTTTCTCACATAATTTACATATGGCACTTGCAAAATTCATAGAACTGAGCTCTGAATGAAATAAGTTAACTTAAGAAATTAAAGTTTCGCGTTCTTCACGGGTCACGTTATAGCATAGTAGAAGACAATGGACAAAGTCGATCTAATGTTTGCACAAATAATTGTTTCTACAGAGGGTAGGAGCTCGCTGTGCGTCGGCTGCGGGGGTCGCATTCACGACCAGTGGATCCTGAGGGTAGCCCCGGACCTCGAGTGGCACGCAGCATGCCTCAAGTGCGCCGCCTGTCAGCAATTCCTTGACGAGAGCTGCACCTGCTTCGTGCGCGATGGCAAGACATATTGCAAGGACGACTACGTTAGGTAAGGATTACCAATCAATTGGTCCTGCAAGTAACTACCTTCACAAGGCCTTGCAATAGGGCTCGAAACGCTCGTCGAGCTACGAGTCCCGATCCTACAAATATTACCAGCGGTCCTGTCAATAGTCAATTGCTTTCGGCTAATCCATAATTATCTCTCTCAGTAACCTTATTTATCCACTTTTTCATCTCCAATAGCGTCTTCCATCGCCAATTTGGCTTGGGTTGTGCAAATATTCTGAGTTTCCTTTCCATTCGAGGCTATTGTATCTTTGTGATCTAGCTTTTTATGTGTGCAATATTAGTTTTAGAAATACATGTACGCGCAATAAAAAATTTGCGATTGTGAAATCGACTGCCAGTGACGTCGTGACCGCACGACCGCGCATTCGCAACAACAAAGCCAAACAAACATTGCAGTTTTCATTTGCACGTCGCCGTGCCTTCTCTTATCCAATTAAACAAAAACGTAGACTCAACACGCTTAGCCACAGCTTGCAGTTTCGATGTGTTCACTCCACGAAATTACATCCGCGAAACATATAGATGAAAAAGGTAGACAAGGAGGCAGACATTACCAGACTATCCTAAAAGTTTATTATTATTTGAACAATGAGATTATTCGTTCAAGATTGTTCATTCGGCCGAGACTTTTTCCGATCGAGCTGCATTAGTCGCCTTTATTCGGTTAAGTTAAAAAGGGACGATGTAGGGTGGCCTGAGGCGTAGCTTTTTTCAAACGTCCTCACATCCGGATGCCATGCGCGAGGAATTTTTTGTTCCACGACGGAAATGTTTGCGATCGCAACGCCACGGACCCGATGCTGTCTTACTCTAGGTCGTGCTAGACATTTAAAAATACGCGTCGAATCCGAGTTTAAGAATACGAACTTCTTGAATCACGCGAGAATAGACACGCTCGCGTGTTTTTAAATTCGCAAATAATTCGCATCGAGTTTTAATGGATCATTTTAAAGGGCATTAATTCCTGAAGCAAAGCGAGCATAGCGCACTTTATAAAGCGGTCTCTTCACTTACATTTTCAGGATATTATCACGTACAATTCTGTAGATTTGTATGAACTAAATCTCAGATTAAATCGTATTCTCAACCGCATAATACCCACTTTTCTTTGCGGCAACGAGATGCGCTTTCGGTAAACGCTTCTCGGATTCGCGATGATTAATAGGTTAAACGCAAGAGAGAAAACACGTAGATGAAGTGTGTCGGTGAAGAGTTCACATACCCATTTCATCAAACGCGTTTTAATTATGTAATGCAGATCTTGGCTGAAAATATAAATTCATAGATTCCAAAATTAGTAGGTATACGTTATATCGTATCGCTTATCGGGGTAGTAGTCTTGTCCCATTACGATATTGCCGGAATTAATTTGACAATTGCTCGTCCAGACTCTTCGGCACAAAATGCGACAAGTGCCGACTGTCATTCAACAAGAACGACTTCGTGATGCGCGCCAAGACGAAGATCTACCACCTGGAGTGCTTTCGATGCTCGGCGTGCATGCGCCAACTGGTGCCGGGCGACGAGTTCGCCCTAAGGTCCGACGGCTTGTTCTGCCGGCACGATCACGATGCCCTCGAGGGCGAGAAGCTCTGCGGGGGTGGCGTCGCCACGACTATCGCCGGCAACGAGAACAACAACAATGCCAACCTCACCAACAATAATCACCATCTGCACCCTAACGACGGCTCGCTGTCGGGTAAGTTATACTCGAGCCATTTATGTCTTTGTTTTTCAGCCCCTCTCATTCCTCACTGAATCGGACCTTATCGCTACAAAGGCTGGATATTTTTGCATTAAAAGTGGCTAATTGATGCACCGATTTTTTTTTAGCACTATTTTCTTTTATGCTCCGAATTTTTTCCTTTTAATAAAAATAAATCGAGTACCGTTAAACGAGAACGTAAGTCGTTAGAACGTTTATCGTTGTGCTTCTTTGAGTATGATAGGTTCGCGTTCATTAACGTTACGTTCATAACTCTTAGCATGAAATGATTGATTAGGACAGTATTAAAAAGTGCCTTTATCGACAATGTAAATTACTTAATCTTTTTCATACTAGCTGCCAACAAGAATTTCCATGCCTTTTCAGTTTCCCCAACATCGGAATTTTGAATATTTGAATCAGTATAATAGATAAATAAATGTCGTAATTATAAAGCTTATAATTTACGTAATTACACTTTAAACGTAAACACTTGAAAAGCATAGCATAACAGACCTGCGTATGTCTTATCTCGTACTTCATTTTTCCTTGCATCGTCTAAATATAGTTCATTTTCATTAATTTTTTGAAATTCCTCTTTAAAAGTGGCGTAAAAAATTAATCGCACAAAGACGTCTCCGTCGCAACATCGACGTGCCCACGAAAGTCTAGAAAAGTATCTCATTATTCTCGAATGCTAAACCGCGTGTGAAAACCAAAGAACAAGAAACATCCGTTCGCCCTTGATTTTCGCGGCTTTAATTCAGGCCGGATATATTCCATCGACTAGTGCGAAAACAGACGAACTTAGAGACAAAGGAACGGGGCGTTACTCGTTACTAAACTATTAATGCTCAGCGATTAGTCCCGTGGGTAGTCCCCCCCCCCTATCTGACGCCTCATCCCTCCTCTTGCCACCAATCTCACACCGGCCCACCCCCTTCCTCCCACCCAACTCCCACCAATCCCCCCGGACAGAGTAAATAAATATCTCGCGCCTATGCAAATACTCTGGGATTACGAGTCAGGTGTTGATAATTGAAGCGATTATAGCCGTACGATCTTGACCAGCGAAATACCCCGTCGAGGATTAGTGCCCGTCATAGTTACTGTACTCTCTACGTTACTTCATCCCTCGTTGGGCCTTTGATGTCGCGCGCCTAATTGACTTCTGGCTTAATGTGACGCACACATGTCTCCTTCGCTAATGGTTGACGTAGACTCTATATTACCTTGCGATAAACCCGCTAGTTTATCCAAAACCCTGGGTGATTTTGACGCGTCGTACTGCTAGGTTAGGTCACACGGGCTTGAGAAATGAAATTTATCTTTCTAGGTAGTCAAACAGAATGCTTTGTTGAAAGAATCACGAGCAATAGTAATTGGAGATAACCAGATATTATAGAATTAAAAAATAATAGAGATTAGATAGATATTATCGTACATTAAACGAAATATTCTTACATATTTGTACATTCTTGCAGAAGAAGGGAGTGAGAGAGAGAGAGAGAGAGTGAGAGAGAGAGAGAGAGAGAGAGAGAGAGAGAGACAGACAGACAGACAGACAGTTTCATAGTCTCATGACACTTTTTGCTAAACAATAAAGCTACAATTTTACATTATATCACTTCTTAATTCTTATATAATTCAAATTTCAATTATATCATGATTCTTTCACGTCTTTAATTACACTTAACAGATTTAAAAAGTAAAAACAAATATATTTTGCGGAAGAAATTTTTTTTAAAGACTCGAGTAATTAATATTATTTGTTTATAATGTAATATATGGTAATTTTTGAGCCAAATTAATTGTATTTGTAAAAATTATAATTTATCCACTCTAAATATAATTTTATAATCTATTCTTATTATTTCATTTTTAGCAGATATTATTATTCTCTAACAATTAAACACTAAAGTAATAGCGATGAAAGTAATAAAGTATGGATTAAAAAATAGTAATAATTTATGATTATTTTAGCAGTATAATGTTTATAATACAATTGATTTATAATTATAATTAGTTAATGAATACGTGCATATTATATCTATTTGCGTTCACATACAAACACGTATGTATAATCCAGTGATAAATTCGTTTATGCCAGCCAATACCCTATACATTTAATATACTATTCACCAATGATAAATTATGAGTAATGTCGATAAATCGTGAATTTGTCGTGTATTCCTTGGTTTTCGAAAATCTCTATCGGTGATATTTTTCACGCACATAGTCTGGCTTTATCGTATAAAATTTCACAGGATCTTTCATAAAAAAGATCTCAAGATTTGCTGAGGAAAACATTCGTCTCGCATTATAACAAACGGCTTCTCATTTGAAATTCCTCGAAGATCGCTGCTAATTTTTACTATAAACCAACTTGCTGGTCACACGGATGTTGTCCGAGCGGCATTCAGTAGCCGACGAAGCTTACAGCTAATTCACACGTCTGGTCGGCTTTTTCTCTGTATTTACGATTTGAGGAAACCTACGCGATCCGCCACCTTATTAAATCAGAGCCCAATGTCGCTCCTGTATTCCTCAAAGAGAATTTTTTCGACCGATTTCCATTTCCTTTGTACGACGAAGGCCATTGCAGCTTTCTGAATAATTAAAGCTGCGCTTGGTGTAAGGAGGAAGATAACGCGGGAAGGGCGAAGACGAGGGGGGAGTGGGAAGGGATGGAGGGCGTAAGGGTTTCTCTCCTTGCCATCAAAGTAGAATATTAATAAACGATGGATGAATATTAATCGGGTGCAGAGCACCAGATTACTCGAGAAGTCTCTCCTTATCAATAATTCCGGGCTAATTTCCAGAGTGTGTCAATTCACAATAGGGGGAATCGACACATTTATACATTTCCATTCAATCGAACATTCTAATTGGAAGCCGTGCGAGGTTTGGAATACCGCGCGCCGAAAGAAGAAGCGGAACGGTCGAGGAGAGCGAGCCAGCCAGCAGGGAAAGACCGGAATTTCATGGCTACGCGGGAATAATAATTGAGACGGATCACAGTCCGGTTGGTCGATAGTGGCAGCGAGGTGTCAAATGTAACACACTCCTGCCAATTATCGTGACACAAAGGGACGCGCGTCGGCTTTTTTCTCCCCTGTCTCTCATCTTTCTTTCCTCTCCGTCGGCTTTAATAATCTCCCTGCCGACGCGCGTTACGCATGCGTCGCGCGGCCAGTGTATGCATTATGTTTTATTGACGGCGGCGCGAGTTGTTGCGCTACCTGATTTTGAAGATGTTTGGCAAGTATGAAGGCCCGGAAGGCAGGGACGAGCCTCTACGAGTCTCAAGTTCGCGTAATATTTCCAATTACTGCGGTATTTAAATTTTAAATGATTTATAATGAAAAATGAGGAAAAGGTAGGACGATGTACCATGGTTATGTAACAATTAATGTGCGGTCTTACGTTATTTATCATATTGATACAGCTTGTTTCGGAAAAATTGCTTTAAGTATTTGTCAATGATAAAATCGACCATATTTAATCTTCTCTTTAGCTTAAGTGTAAGATTTTTATCTATTTCACTTGTTACGAATTATCGCCTTGTCATCCTTCCGTCCGTTTCGGCATTATCGTAAGACAAATTTACAAAGCTTATGCGTCAACTTGGCCATTTTGGTCCCCAAGACCGACTATAATGTACACTTTGAGCAGCCAACTGTGATTTCTATTTTTCTAACAATGTGAAAAATAGTCATCGAGCATAAATTACTGTAGCAAACATTTGACGACGGCTAGCTTCTTGTATTATTATAAACTACAAATATTTTTCCATTATTTTAAACTACTAAAGACATTCTCGGATTTACTATTTTCGAATTTCGATACACATCCGCGCGCTCATTCTCGCTCAAGCACACGCGCTCACGCCAAAGAGTATAAGTAAAATACACGATACTGTAATTTTTAATTATTAAAATTTAATAGAGCAGTAAAATATTTTATCGTTAACAGGTCAGCCCGCGCGTACATACACGAACACACACACACACACACACACACACACCTGCGAGACGCATTTAATTTATCATTGTAACATGTTCTTGAAGAATATTACTTTTATCACAATGAAGAATCATTGTGCATTTAATTATTATATCCATAAATAAACATTTTGCTCATTTTTTAATCTTCCAAACAATATGCGATATTTGCGGATTGTTGTTATTTAAATTATATGAATGTGCGATCAAACTGTATAACTGCATACAAATGCAACATTATGACTTAAAATGATTCACGGAAATAAGATGTGGGAAACTCATATCAAGTGTTTTTTATGTCATCATTAGATTCATGTTGGAAAATGTGAAGATCAGCCATATTGCGATACGTACGACGCGACAAATTTTTCTTATCGACAATGAGCGAAATTGTGTGGGGTGGGGATAATGGGGGGGGGGGGATAATTGGAGTTGGAATTGAGAAAAAATGAAGGTCCAAGAGAGAATTCAGGGTGGCAAAATACTTCAAAGTGCGCCGCCATTCAAAGTGAACCGCTTAGCCCCCACATACGTATCCAACCTTCAAATTTGCTTCTTCGCATGATGCGAAAGAAAAGAGAGGGGGCAGCTGTAATACCGTAGTCGAATCACACAGACGCTTCTCATCTTCTGAATATCAGATTTTCAAGCCAGTCGGAAGTTCATTGCACTTGTTAACTTGCCCCGGTGTCTACTCCCGGAATTCGGTTACGCACCTCTACACGATCACGACGATTCACTCGCATTAACAACTATCCAATGCAGTTTGATTACTTTGATTTTTAATACGGTGCACTAATCGAATTTAATCTTTGATTATTCTCATTATCCATTATCGACTTTGACTCGATTAATTTTTATCGACATTTTTCTATCTCTTTTTTTCGTATATTTTCATTCGGTTTTACGCTTTCCCTTACGTCCACGAGCTGAAAATGATTATTTAGGCGCTACTCTTGAAACAACGATGGTCTGAAGTTCATTAATATCATTAATATCTCATTGTTAGCGTACATTTGCTCGTTAATCCTGATGCCGCGCACAAAATTTTAAAACTTTTTATTATTCTGAAATTGTACCGAAAGTATCTTTCTTGGATTGGATTTTTGTAATAATAATTGATAAGACGTTGTCTTATCAATCAAAATATTAAACTAGCAAAATATGCATTGCGACGAATAGAATGGAGTGCCGTTCGCTCGTTAATCAAATAAGTAGTTTGTTAGCTGAAACTCGATGTGTACAAATCTCACATAAGCCAATATGCAAATACATGTTATTTTAAGCACAAACTTTTTCGAAATTGATTCGAACGATAATGCATGCATCGGGACTCGATCTTAGTATTAAAACGGACAACATTCCATTAAAAATAAATACGATGAGTACTTAATGAACTACCAGTGCTTAATTATTCATCTGCATAACGAAGTTAATGGCTTTAAAGTCTTTTCCGATATTCGAAACGAGTTCAAAATTTTAACGTCAATATGTTTTTATACAACTAGACATCGCAACAACGCATTGTCGAGTGGATCGCAGCGTACAGCGTTCCACCAATAACTGAAATGTCGCGACGCCGTCGAAGTGGCCAAACTAACCGCCGTTGCTCGTTAAAATACAAATGGACAACAATGGACCGAGCGGACGTTCGAGTACCATTTTAGCCATTCGACTGTTTAGTCATCTGACCTGGTGGAAGCCCACGGTACGCCTTGACCAAGGGAGCAAATAAAATCCGGGGCCTATTTCGGCGTCCTAAGCAAATAGTCCGAGTTGTTCTCTCTTCACGGTCGTGGCATCTTTTCTCAAAAGGCCCTCGAGGAAGCGCGGAAAAAGCGAGAATTGTTAACGGAACAGCGACTAGGACTCGAGCGAGATTTTACGAATTCTCGAGGGGTTTGGAATTTTCGTGGTCTCGCAACGCGATGGCTTATACCTTGGAAATAGATGTAAGAGAGAGAGATAAGGTCTTAACCTTTCTTGATGGATAATTAAGGGCCTGCCCTTTCTATCTCAAACGCTTCCCTTCGTCGTTAATTCCGGTCGGAGCTAGGGAAAGTCGTGATTAATAAGAGGCAAGCCTCATTCAAGCCCATTGGTTCGCTAAGCTCAATATGCAATCAAATTGCAAAAATGCAATAATAATGGTATAATAAAAAAGTGTTTGTTTAACGAGGGGCTGGAACGGCATCGAGCGTCAATCAAACTTCAGCGAGTTTTAATATATTAGACGATTGTACTTTCAAACGTAAATCGCGAATGCACGGGACGAATTTTTTCAAACGTAGCCAATCGCAAAGACCAGCTTTTGCCCTTAATTATTTAATGCGAGCATCGATACATAATCCCGATAGCTCAGATGTGAGATTTGCCCACTTTGGGCAATCCCCATGAAAGGAATAGAAAAGGGACCGAAGGCCCGGTAAACTAAAGCGACTTTGTGTAACGACATTGCAGACTCGGGCTCGGAAAGCGGCTCGCACAAGACGGTGGGCGGTAGCCGGAGCACCGCCGGTCACAAGGGCGGCGGCTCCGACGGCAAGCCAACGCGCGTGCGCACAGTCCTGAACGAGAAGCAGCTCCATACCCTGCGCACCTGTTACGCAGCCAATCCCCGCCCGGACGCTCTCATGAAGGAGCAGCTCGTCGAGATGACGGGCTTGAGTCCGCGCGTCATCAGGGTCTGGTTTCAGAACAAGCGCTGCAAGGACAAGAAGAAGACCATCGCCATGAAGCAACAGATGCAGCAAGAGAAGGTATGTCGTCGAAGAGTGATCTGCTGTAATTTTTAGTTTGTGCCTCGATGCTCATAGTACGTGCGTAATGGTGGATCGATCGCATAATGCTCTCCTGCACTGCTCGTCCATGTTGCTTTTTTTCGACTGCTCGTGGACTTGAGCACGTACCGTCGCGTAACACCCCGGGTGTGTTAATTAATGTTGCCGCGTCAAGTATTATGAGCATCCAAAGCCTACTGCTGGAATTCGAAAAAATAGTCTGGCTACTCAGTGCAAGAAAGACACTGACGAATCGAAGTATTTCCCGTTTCAGGACGGGCGGAAATTGGGTTTCGGTGGTATGCACGGTATTCCCATGGTCGCCAGCAGTCCTGTACGGCACGAGAGTCCCATTGGTATGACTCCCCTCGAGGTGCAGGCGTACCAGCCGCCCTGGAAGGCCCTGTCCGACTTCGCACTACACACCGACCTGGACAGACTCGATCCGAACGCGCCTTCCTTCCACCACTTGGTCTCTCAGGTAATGCTCCGCTCTCAATACCCAGTGCTTTGTTTTTCCTCGATTATGAAAGAATTATCACTACGGTTAATCAAAATCTATACTAACTTATTCGTCTCGGCTTTAGTGAAATTAGCAATTGGCACATGCGTGAGAATGAACACTGGCGAGCGATGACGAACGATGTTTGAAAACTGCTTGTAAATAATTCTATCTCTAGAGTAATAATGGAATTACTTTCTATACATTACATATAAATTACGTTTATATTTTCGTCAATCTTTGCTTCGTCGTGAAATCATGGCGTGAGTCACATCACAGTTGTAAATTATTATCGGATGTAGTGAATGATCGAACGTTTAATGTGTTTCCAAAGCGGCTGGGGGAAGACGATCAGAGTTTTCGAGTGCAGAAATTCAATATAAGCGAGGGCAAGATGAGGAGTGTAGTTCTTAAAGGGAGTGAGAGTTTAAAGGCACACATTACCTAAAATAAGCATGAATTCTAATTAATATATAAGCAGAGCTGATAACTTTGAAAAATTATTATATATTCTTTGATGCTAAGTCAATAACTATTATACAATTAAGCGAGATGACAGTGAAAAATATAATTATTGTTTCCTCGGAACTTTAAAATACATTAAATATCATCGATTAAAAATTTACAAATATTGTATTTAAATTTCAATTAGAATTCAGGATAACTTCGAATGATGCTATTGCATCATAATACTCCACGTAGTTATACGCGTGAGCCGTCATTCAGGATTTGGCAATCGTTAATTCCAATATACTTAGCACCCAAACACACTTTTATATCTAATTAATCAAATAATTATTAACCGATCGTGCCTTACTTTTAGATGATTAATAACAAATGGCACGGCGAACGGTTTATATCGCCTTTTCCAATGCAAAGTACATAATAAGACAAGCGGAGTAAGCAATTAACTTTACCATTTAACTGACAAATTTTTCTTCTAGATGCACGGCTACGATATGCACGGCGGTGGACCACCTCAGTTACCACCCCCGGGGATGATGGGTGGGCCGATGGGCGAAGCCGGGGGTGGTGGCCCTCTACCACCACCTGGACCCCACCATCCGGGCGGGGGTAATGGACCCGGATCTGGGCCCGATATGGGCCAACATCCCGACAGTACCGATAGCTATGTGACTTATCTGGAGAGCGACAGCGACTCGCTTCACCACGACACCGGCAGCCCCTAGTGTCGATCCCTCGATCTTTAGGTGCCTTCGGCTCCCGCCCTACCCCGCCATAGATGACAACGATGACCGTTAGCTGGATAAGCCTCGTCGCGTGCATTAAGCATGAGCGACGTGACGAAGCGAGTACTGCGAAGCAAGGATCGTCGGTAATAACGGAGCATTCTACTTGACCGACCGTATATTAGTTACCCGAAGGTTATCGTTTCTCGGCTAGAGCGTACCGTGCGAATTTCGACGAAGTCACGCGCTAGGTCGTTTCATCGTTTGATTTTCCACGATGAAAAGTGTCTTTAGAGAACAAAGTAAGGACTAGATATGCTTCGGACTACTCACCACATTATTGGTAATTGAAATAAGCGATGTGACAATTTTACAGACAAACTTAGAGAAATAAAGTAAGGACATTTTTAAACCGTCATAAATTTATGGTCGGTAAAATAGACACATGAAAATATAAATTCAATAAGATGCGTTGAATAATTGCTAATTTACTCGTTTGCAAGTGTCTATTTTCATTAAATAATAGTTCATTAAATCATTAAATATGGCTTATCTTTTTTAGAATTTTTAGAACATTGCAATTGATAATTATTTGTGAAACGATATAATCTATTCCGATTTTGCCGACTAATCAGCATCTTAGAAATGTATGTTTTACTTGAGTTTATGAAATTATTATGTATTAAAGAATTTCGAGAAAATTGGAGTAAATGAAAGAAAAAACATTATTACCAAGTAAATGTGCAAAGGTTTCATTTTGAAAATGTTCAAATTTCTCATAAAATGCTCGCGTTTGTCGGTATTTTCAGATTTAGATCAGTGTCAAGAGAATTTTATATAATTTAATAATCCGTCAAAATTGTAATCTCGTTTCAATCCTCCAGTGATTGGAAAAATCAATAATCAAGTTTTTAAGAAAAGATCTTACAGCTAGGTCATGTAAAAAAATTATGCATTGATTTGAGATCTTTTATGAAATTATGCGATTTGTTAATTAGAGTAAATTTAATGTTGTTATTAAAAATTTTCGCCTTAATGAGTTGTTGCTCATTGTTTAATTTATAATGTGTTTTTTTTTTCTTTTTTTTTAATACAAATTCTTATATTATAAAATTCTTTTGTTTTTAATATAAATATTTTATTTCACAACTTGTAAATTAAGTGTAACGAGTAAAATTTTGAGAGGTACTCTTTATCCGATTTAAAATGGTTGCATTTATCTAAATTAAGTGGTGATTATTTCAATGGAACTCACTGAAAAATAATATAATGGCCAATACAATGTTTAAAACTCTACTTGTATATATTCTTAATAATACAAGTGAACATTTTAAGCAATAAAATGAGTTTTATTTTAGCTTATCCGACGGAAATAATAGTACAATAAAATAGCACCACTAAATTTTTATCAGTAAAATTGTTTGAATTTATTTAATTTTTTTGAAATCCTGTGACTAAATATTCGTGGTATAATTCCAAAACAAAATGAAAATGTCACTTCAATGCTGAGTAACCGTTGCCTTTCAAATTATTAAAAACTCACTGCTCGTTTGTTAATTAATTGTTCATTACTTTATAGTCATGAAAATCGTTGTCCCTCACCTGTGGAACATTGTACATACGAAACATACGAAAGAAAATGTATATAAATGTTTTATTCGAGGATTGGTGTGTCAACGAAGTTGAAGAATAAAGTGTTTGCTCAATATAGAGGACGGAAAATGATGGCAGATATCTGAACGTAATGAGAGATACTGTCGCGTTAAAAGTATTTTAGTATTTTCGCTGTACGCCGTGAAAGATACATTCGACTCTGAACCATTTACGTACTGAACTGTCTGAGGCAAATCGTAAGCAGAGCAAATACCAAAGCAAACGCATCGAAATTTTGTAAATAGATGCATACGTGTGAACATTGGGAAATTCGTGACTCGATCAGAGCAAAAGGTAGAAAGCAGATATTGCGATGACGCCTCCTCTAGTACTGTATATTGCGCGATGGGTGCAACATTGTCGTCTTAGGTAAAGTTTTCCGAATTGACAAGAGTGACTTCGGAATTTGTATAATATTTCTATACAGGCACAGTGTACGTAATAATAAACAAACAAAAAAAAAAAAAAAAAATTCGAAATGGATTAGATTGTTACCACCTGATTTATAACTCCTTTATCCAAATACTTTCTGACGCTCACCATTGATTGATACATATCACTGTTGTATTTAGCTTTATTTTTAATAAAATTCAATAAAAGTTCCATGTCTTATTAATACATTAATTAAAAATTATTATATTTAATGAGTTGACATAAAGTATTTATTGCTTGAGTTTTTATATAAATTTAATTTTAATTTTTAGTATTTTCGTCATTATTTAAAATATCATTATTATTTTATTACCTTCTGTATTATTTGCGCGCTATTACTTGTGTTAATTTGCTTTCCCTCTACTATTTCTTTTGAAGCTCACAAATACATTTCGACGATCGCTCAATGGCTTAACACATACCCTCTTCAAATGTATGAATAATTATAAGTTTTACATAATTTGAAATATTAAATAATATTACAAAATATAAGAACGAATACTCTGTATGCTGATATTTCTCGTGGAATACAATTTAACAGCCTATCTCACTCAGTTCATTATGAAATTATCTAATGTAATTTAAAGAAAGATCTTAAACTGAAAAAAATAATGCAAAAGAAATAAAAGACGAATTTAGATAAGTATAAATCTTAAATCATTAAATAAATAAATTAATATTCACCTATTATAAATAAAGTTTAACTCGTGTCAAAAAATAGCATTGAAAAATAATAAAAAATATCGTCACACTTTTCGATATCATTTAATGAAAAAATAGAAAGGAAAAAGTTAAAATTTTTTAAATTCATAAAGAATGTAGTAATAAAAATGTAATGCAGGATGTAGATATCAGTCACTATGCAGCATCAAGTACCAAGTACTTTGAATCTCGATATAAACTATGGGGACATTTGCGTCAAAGAAGTACCACACGTACACAAGCTATATGTCAGGTTGCAGTATACAGGGCGAATTTGATAATGACGTCATACGTAATACGTGATTGCGTTGAGAGCTACTCGGACTCGCATATGCACTCGAATCTGGTAATATATACTTCATTATTTCATTGCATGGCGTCCACTTGTTCAAGTTCTTTAACATTGATTCCAATGATGTAAAGGCTAACAACCCTCATTACCCTTAAATACTATAATATTGTACCTAAAACAAACTGATTTACAGCTATAAATTAAACAAATTTAACACGAGCTTATATTACAGCTCATTGATGTTATATGATATTGAATATAGACTAAAATATATCAATAAATTCATAATTATATACTTAGTTAACTAATAATTAATTTTGATCATTTAGATATTTTCAAAAATGAATACTGTAAGTATTTCATTGTTATTGTTGTTATATCTATAAATTGTACAAATGATCATACTATAATATTATTAGTAATTCTAATAAATAGTTGTGGGGTTTGATATTTGAAATGTATCTTTATTCATAATATTCATAATAAAAATTATGAAATTGTAAAGTGTAAAATTTCCAAAAGTTCAAATCTATCAAATTATCTTTTAAGGAAAGTGGTTGTTTTCTAACAATGAAATAGTGTACTTGGCTAATTTACGAATTATGATACTGTATGAATAAATTTGATTGTACTACTAATAATAATAATAATAATAATAATAGATAATTAATTAAATAGATCGGAATAACTAGGCGGTATAACTAGAATATTAAAATGAGGTTCATGAAAAAAATAATAAAGAGCTTAGGGCATGAAATTAAAACAAAAATAATTTGATGTGAAAAGAACAAGATCAAGAGAAAAAATATAAATACATTTACATGGAGTAAAGGGCGACCGATAAACACAAGTGATTATTATTTTTTAAATTTTTGTTCGCTACATATGAAGTAAAACGCTTCTAAAAAGTGGGTGTAAGACTAGTGCCTGTAAAAAAATTATCGATAAATTGGCTACGGATTTCAAATTATAAAAGGATGTAGGCTTAGAGGATATATTGCATTTATTTAAATTGTATTTATTTCAGGATATCGTAGAAATAAATATAACTGAAGTCTTGAAATAGACGTGAGCCATTACACGTTTGGTGTGGGATAACAAATCTCATTAATTCGTTAAGAAAATCTTTGCTCAATCTTTCTTATTCTGCATAAATTAAAAACCATAAATTACCATAATATTAATTAAAAAATAGCGAAGCAAAAACGTCTTACAAAAATGAAAGATATAAGAAAAATAAAGGTCGGCAACTTGAAGTGTCCGATAAGATTTTAATGCTCTAATGCATAACTATTTTAAGACACTTTTCATCGGGGCTCATTCTCGCATGATTAATTACATAAATAATTCTTTACGCATTAAAAGTAATTATTCAATCCATTTTTTTAACTTTGCAATCCATTTTAACTTTGCACTTTGTAACTTTACTGCTTCAATTAAAAAAAATTTCGTTCAGATTAGAGTACCACGAGATAGATATCTTTTTGACTGATCACAGGCTTTAAACATGATAATAATAGCACATATTACATTTACAGAATTTCTATCGATACATACACAATTTCTATCGATTGCTTTAACTTTTGAATTACGGAGCTGCACTTTAATTCCAGTCCAGCTATTCTCTCCATCGACTCATCGTTCCTTTTAAAATCTCCATGACTTCTTAAACGACTGGATAAATAATTAATCACCGTACGGACTATTCAATTTCGCTATTCGCATCTATTTTGTTCTACCAGCTTTCGAAGCACGCGCCACTTATACTTCGCGAATCCTTACGTAAGTGACGCTACTGAGCTGCTATACGCTTTCCAGTAACTTTCGAGTCTTTGCTTCTTATTGTCATGCCGCGCGCTTATTGGATAATTATTGATTGTGTGATGTGCCGTGCGTCCGAATGTGGCCTCATGCGTGTAAACTAATTCCTCGCGGAGGTTCGGTGTTGTATTAAAAATTTCTTTTTAATATGGGCGTCTAATATATGTTCTCGATAATAATACGCAAACAGCCTTGAGTTATTTATAAATAAGCTCGGCTTGTCAATTAGTGATAATAGTCGAAGATATGCTGGCTGGCCGGAAAAGAAATCTGTTGTCACGAGAGGCGCGAGAATTCAAAGGTTTAAGAGACTTATAATTTATATTGGCAAAAATTAATTATAAAATCTATCCAGAATGAGCATTGAAATTACTATCGCGATTATCATTAATAATACTGAACGACGTGAAAGATATATTTACGTAGCCAATATATTTTAATGTTCGATTTGTGCGGCTGTGTAAGATAGCAAGGCTAAATCTCTACTGCGCATGCGATTAATATGCCTATCAGTTGGAATTTGGACCCATTGGAGGTTTATTTTGAGTTTGACATCAGGAATGTCATGTGCGTAATGAGTTTTGTGATATTGATGATGACAAGTAGTATTTGAGGCTGTTTGATATTTAGGCGTTTGTGTCTCCTTTGAGATGAGTATGTGATGAAAATCATGTACGTTAATTAATAAACTTGAATATTTTGTCGCGTACATTGTGTGACAATTTTATTTTATAATTGAGAATGTCAAATTTATCGTGGATCATAATTTAGAACATTTTAGCCAATTAAAAATAACTGTAAATATACAATTTCTTTAGTTGTATATATGTAATATATTTATTTAATTGTGAATGGCTATATATGAAATTTTTTTAAATATCAGACTGTAATAGCAATATTTGAGAAGCGAAGGTGATATCTTGTTGTCGTAATACAGTATTACTTTGTGTCAAGTAAATGTACAATACTGTAACAGTAACTAAATAATGAATTATATCTAGTTTGAGCAAATGTATTAAATGTTAAAATATATTATTTAAATGAAATAAATGATTAAAATTCATTGTAATAAAGTAAGTAACAATTCTATAATTGTAGATAAAAAAAATGGCTGACTATTTTCATGAAATGGGATGGACTCCTTTGGGTGATGCGGAAACTCCCAATCATTTATTACAAATGGCTCGATTTTTAATGGACTCTGGTATGTGGGAACTCTTGGGTGACCACGAGAAATTGCCTCCTCCAGCTTCCAAAGAAGTTGTTCGAAATCTAGAAGAAACTGAATATACAGATAATTCAGGTAAAATAAAATGAACTTGTGTTAATCATAAATAATTTACTTTATACAAACATACATTGACAATTTTCAAATATAATTACATTTTATACTCTTAATTAACAGGAAGAAGAGAACAGTGTCCAGTTTGTATAAAAGATTTTGAAAAGGGGATTATTATAAAATCTTTACCGTGTAAACATTTTTTTCATAAAGAGTGTATAGAACCTTGGTTACACAAGGTATGCCATGTATATTAGAATTTTCTATAATTCGAAGATTTCATAAAATTATTTCAATTAATAAAATTAATTTTATTCTTTTAGACAAATTCGTGCCCACTATGCAGATACGAATTACTTACAGACGATAAAGATTATGAAAATTATAAACAAGAAAAGAAACGAGCCGTAGAAAGAGAAAAGGATTTGGAAATATTACATAATTCAATGTTTTCCTAATATGTATTGTATATCAATTTTTACTTAAATTTCATTCCTGTTTAACTTTTAATTTCTGAACTTTTAAAAAATTGTATAAAATTATAAGGTTGTAATAATTTCAATTAATTGTACTAATTTTAATTTAAACATATTTTATTTGTTATTGATGATGGTATGAGTAATATTAGCTATAACATTACAATCCAATTCAAGATGGAAGAATGAGATTTTGAATATTCTTATTTATGTGCAGTGCTTAAAATGAAGTTTTATTCTGATTTAAATATTTTTTAATAAAATAAACAATGTTGAGTAATGAATTGTTTCTATAAAATTATGTAAATAAAAATAAAATAATGCAAATAGTAATTTAAGTTTTACTATTGCATATTATATAATAATTATTTTCTTTCTCTGAAGTATAACAATGATAAAGACGTCCTTTCGATTGGTCAAAGATTAATAATATTTCAATAAAAGAATTTATTTTAGGTTTGGTTATTAACATACAATTGCTTTACAAGTATTAAGTATGATAGAGATTTATCATGTGAAGTTAATCTGTTGTATTTATTTTATTTTATAATTTTTTAAGACAATTTTAATTACTGATTAAGTATTTTTTTGATTATATTTATTTGAATGTTGATAATGCTTTTATCGTATTTATGATTTATAAAAATTTTTATGTTACAACATCCAAATGAGAAGCTTCGTGCATTGTAAAGTATCTATAAATAAATACCATTTTTTACAAATTCATTAAGTACTGTATAAATTAAAAATCATAGATTTTATCGACATTGCTAATGATCTTAAAAGTAAAAATTGTTATATTAATGAGTTACAAAATCTTAATAGTAATAAGATATTAATAGACAAGAATCTAAGTTCATAATTGGAAAGTTATTTTATTTGAAATTTATTTTAAATTCTTAAATTTCATTTAACCTATTAATCATTTTGATAATAATGATAAATAAAATGTAAAATTTCAAAAGTATTTCATATTATAAATTAAAAAATATAAAAATATATTTATAAGATATCATTGCACATGAATTTAACTGAAAATCAGAAATTATTTTTTTTATGTTATAATTTAGGCGTTGAATTTATCAGATATTGTGAATTTATAGATATTATGAATTTATCCACATAATTTACATAAAAATAAAATAAAATTCCAAAACTTATAAAAAATATGAAGTATATATTATATCATTATAATAAAAGATTTTTATGCTTTTTTGGAACATCTTAGATAGTGTATTAATTAACGAAATTATACATTTTTCTCATAAAATATAAATTATAAATAATAATAATAATAAATAAATAATAAATTAATTATAAATAATTATAATTAATTTTTAAATAAAATGCTGAAATATATTTTTTTCTTTATTTAAATATAAGTTTATGATATTTTTTCGTCATATAGAAATTCTTATAGATATAGAAAAAATATGAATATAAATTGAAATCGTGAATTTTTGTTCAAACAATTACATATTGCATTGTCAATAACTTTATTTTATGCATATACTATCATCGTATATAATTCATACTTAAATTCAATGCTAATTTATTATTGCAAGATTATTTCTTTGTTTTTTTTTATATTTATATCATTGATTTTTACATATTTTTAATAAATCCACTTATATTAATATGTGGGATAACGATATAATCACATGTATTTTTAATAGAATGAAATATATAATTTGAAAAACTATATTTACGTTGCTAACATTTTTCTTGATAATTACATTATTTTTAGTCGAATACTTTATAAAATATGTAAAGTTTATAAATAATGTAATAGAGTGAATCCGAGAAAAATTTGATTTCTAGTATATATATAGATATTTGAAACATAAATTTTAATTTTGTAGTAGTGATATAGTATCAAATTTTTTTTTCTAAGAGACAGTATAAGAATTACGTGAATTTGAATACGTCAGAGTACTGCCTATCTATCTAACAGATATGTATTTTGTACGAAATTGTTAAATAGTTATTTACGTGGTTTTTAATAAATCTTAAAGATTATTTCAAATATTTACCGAATAATTATACGTAATTACTTTTATATATATATTGAAAGAGAATTACAATATTTAGCAAATTAATTAACAATAATTACACGCATGAATACACACGCGTTATATATATATATGCTGTTTTATATCCAGAAAACAACTCATTTGTATTTAAAAAAATTAATTAAATACGAAAATTAACAATGTCGCATAATGGATAGATTGATTAAACAGATTATTTTCGATAAGTTTTTTATGTGACATAAAATCTCCAAGACAGAACATTTTTTTTCTATGTAAAAAATATTTAACTTTTAATAATCATAAAGGCTGAATAAAGCATTTTGTAAACTTCGAGTATGTAAATAAAAAAATACATTACGTTAGAATATAAAATCGACAATTGCGTTCTAACGAGACAAATATAGTTGAACTTTGAGAATTTTCATCGAAGTGGCTTATACAAGGACAAATAATGCATATGAATAATTGTCTTAAATGCTTTGAGCGATACATATACCCACAAGCCACCATATGTTGGAACTTTAACGGCCTTAAATCAATTTGCTATACGAATGACAATTAAATATGGAAAATTTTCGTTATCGCCCCGAAATGAAGCGGTGAAAAGTCCGGCTAAGGCATCCAACGTCTTTCACTCGTAATGGCAAAGCAAACGCGCGCGCAAGTGACCCTCGCAATTTTCTTGGCTCGACTTTAGGATGCAAAACGACGACCGTTTCAAGAGCTACGAGAAATACGGCGATTATTAATAGCAGAGCCGCGGTGATCGAAGAGACCGAGAGCCGATCAAATCCGTTCAGACAGTGCTGCAGCGTCGCGGCGCCGATCTCTCGATGCCCTGCACCCGCTTCGGCCTCCTCGTCCTTGTCCTCGGCGCCGCCGTCGCCACTTTTCCCGAGAGTAAGTCGCCCGAAGGTTGAAACTTTTGCATTAGGGACGTTTGTCATGCGATGCTTGTTGTGGCTGATTAATTGTAACGGGAGAGGCTCATGCGGGAGTTTTCTTTTGCTTATGTAATACGCGTGGTGTTGTTTGCCTAGGAAATATGAAGTAAAATGATCGGTTATCGCCGAGTTTCCAATTTGCTTTTGCGCTGCTTTTCGCGAGATAATTTGGAGGCGTGACTTTATATATATCAACTTTATTCGTGACTTTGATTTTTAATAAACCTTCAAAGCATTGATATAATTAGAGGTCGTTGTTTTATAAGCTACATAAGTTTACTAATACTTTCATAAATGTTAATTTTACTTAATTTAATAATGATGTCTGAGTCATTATGACAAATTTCAAATTTTTTATCGACATTTTTTGAAAAATTTTCATTATCTAAATTAATATAATGAAATACAATCGTAGGGCAATCGTATTGACACAAAATTATTATTAATAAAATAGCATCTTAATTTGTTATTGTATATTAATTGTTATTTATTTTTTGTTATTGTTACTTCTAATTGTTTGTTCTTCGTTTTATATATAAATAAATGAGTAAATCGTTATATTTACGTATACTATCATATTAAATTAAGTAACTATGAAGTATTTGACCATTATTATTTGGTTTTTAATATACGTTCTCATACGTTGATTTATGAAAAATTAAATATAATTATTTTATTTAATTTAGACAATATTTATATACGATGATTGTATTATTAGTTGTCGTAATTATTATACATTTAATAAAGGCCTATATATATATATATATATATAACTTTATTTATATATATAAATAAAGTTTTATTTTAGGATATTCAATCTTTTCTAAGAGGATCAATTTTAAATTTAAATAAAAGTTTGTTTAGAATATTTAGAACATGCATTGACAAATCATTGTCTTACCTTAATAAATAGAAAATATCGTTTTTTTAGATATAATAATCAATCCATGTGAAAACTTTCATACGGTCGTATGTAAAAATCAGCTATATAAGGACTTAAAACATTCAAGATCCAATATCAAATCGCTTGTAGCAAAAGCCCAAGACAATATAATTACAAAATTAAAAGGCAATTAAAAAATTTATCAATATCAACTTATCAATAATATATTTTTCGCTCAACATGTAATAATATGATGAAATAATATAATGTATATATTCATTATAGGAATATTAGAAGAGGAGGATGAGAAAAATATTTTTTCCCCAAAAATTTTAAGAACATTTTATAAATCATGTATGGATACAGGTAATTGAAGTAAAAAGTATTACAAAGCGCAATGAAGCAATTTAATAGCTTATAATAATTACTCTTAATTATTAATGATAAAAAAATCTATTCATTAGTTATAAGGCTTACTACATAAATTATAAATCATTAAAGTTTGAATAAAATCTTATTCAAGTATTTACTAAGGCAAGTTTAATATAAACTTTTAGTAAAATAGAAAATTTAGTTTTACTCTTATTACCTTGTTCTATTCAACTCTTAATACCAATAATTAATATATAATAATTTTATAAAAAGTATTTTTCAAGATATTTAAATAAGATATTTATTACATCATTTTATCAGAAAGAATTTCGTTCGATTTATTCATTTAAATTGTATTTGTAATACGAGAAAAAGAAATTATGAAAAAAAAGAAAAAACACGTGTTTTTTAATTACGATTTCACACATATTATTTTTAATGAATGGACATTAATTAATATATATTATTAATGTTCAATACTTAAAAAATATTATATTAATTACAATTCATAGAAACAATTGATGCGCAAGGTGTCAAGCCAATTCAATCGATCTTAAAACAACTTAGTGGATGGCCTATTATAAAAAATAAATTGAAAAATGAAAATGTTAGAAATTGGCAAGATCTTCATACATTTTACAATAAAATTAATGTATTTCCTTTGTTTGAGATTTCTGTTAATAACGATGCCCTCAAACGATCTCACAAGATTTTGGTAAGATATATATATATATATATATATATATATATATTTAAAATTAGAATTTAAAATTAGAAATTGTGTATTAAGAAAAATAATCATTTAAAGTATTATGTATTTAAAATATTGTATTAGACTCAAATGAATCGTAATTATTTATTGAATTAAAAAAATTGGTTTAAATGAAAATATATGGGATTCTATATATTATACACGTCACTTATATACAACATTATATTTGTAAACATATAAATAGTTTGCATATAAATTAAACATATTCATACAAATACGAATATGGATAAATACTATTTATTTTATTAGGACATATAGCGAAAATATTAATTAGTAATGCCAAAATTGTCTTATGCAATAGAAAAAAATCATTGCTATAAATAAAGATTTACAAATAATTTTATGTTAAATTATATTTAAAATAATATATATTTATTTTAAATGATTTTTTTCATCATAATTTATATAAAAAATAAACATCATTGTATTTCAGCTTCGGCAGCCAAAACCAATCATTCGAGAGCCATTATTATATAAAACAAAAACATTTCATAAATATGTCGAATATATTAAGACAGTGGCTTCCATTATTGCAAATTTAAACGAATCTAGTGTCATGGATCAAAAAATTAATATAGAAGCCAAACAAATAGCGTCGTTCGAAGCAGAAATTTCGAAAGTATGTTGGAATAATTGCATATGCTTATAGATATTTAAAATAACTTGTGTTTGAAAAGATATCTCTATTTATAATTAGAGGTATATTAATTTACATTTGGTTATACATTCTTGCAATAATACCCGAAGCTTAAAAAGATTTTTTTTATTTATTTTTTTATTTGTATTAGGGTCTGCATAAAGTGTATAATTATGCAAATAAAAATCATTTTAAAAATTTTTTGTAACTAGTATCATATGCTTGTATATGATATATATATATATATATCTTCAGTGTAATTCTACTAACACGTTATAACTGATTTTTGTCAATTTTATTTTAGTATTTTTATTTGTTTTATATTATTCTATATAAGTTCATATAAGTTTAATCATTTATTTTAATTTAATTTAGATATTCAACAACTAAAAGTTTAGAAAATAATTTTCTGCATTGTAAAATCAAGCAGATTTGGACGTAATTTTTTTCAAAACAAAACTACTATAATCAATATTAATAAGAAATAAATAAAAATTGATCTTATATAAATCATTATCAATTAATATTAGTATTATTATTATAAAAAGCATAATTAATTTTCTTTATTAGATAAGTGTGTATATTTAAATTTCATATTTAAATCTTTCTTTTAGTTTATGAAGTAGAAAATGTTCGATAAAATAATACTATAAAATTTTCAAACTTTAATAAAATATTTAAGTTATAAAAAGAGATATTTAAGTAATGTATTCAACTATACTAGTAACAAGTTTTTGTTCATAGATATTGGAAATAAGTGAGAGGCCAGATTTTTATCGCCCAGTGACTTTGAAAAAATTTCAATATATAACTAATCAATTAGAGAACAATAGAAATTATACGGTAATAAATATATAAAATTAAATAAGTTTTAGTCTACTTTATCGACTATTTTATTTTGTTCTGAATAAATTTAGTGGGATTGGGTGAAAATTATAAATAAAATGTACTACACATCTTCACATTTAGTTACTATTGAGGATATAATTGACATTTCTTCCCTAACTTACTTTCCAAAACTAATGCAATTAATGGATAGAACTCCGATGAGAATTATTGGTAAGATTTATGTAATCCATTTTTATATAATTCTTTATAAATATAAAATATTCTAAAAAAATATTAATCCACTATCGTATACAAATGATTAATTGTTTTCATATATTTATGTTTTATAATGTAGTAAACTATATACATTGGAGATTCATACATCAATTTCTTTTATATACAAATAATAAAATGAGAAATTTATATTTTGAAATGAAATATTTAATGCAAGAGCCTCCAAAAAATGTATCAAGGTATATCATTACGCAAACCAGTTTTTACATTTTGAAATATTAATTTTTAAGCAAATATAATGATTTTTTGAAAAAGAATGATTATCGTTTCAGATGGAAATTTTGTGGATTTGAACCTTCATTTGATCATGCAATTTCTTATACTTTTGCAAAGAAATATATATCACCAAGATCTGAAAAATACGTAAGCCATATATATATTATATATTACGTAATATACAGATAAAAGCATATAAAAAATCATTACGTAATTTTATTTGCATGATAAGTTCAATTTTTAAATAATTTATTAAAATTATTACTTACTTTTTTATAAGTCTATTTTACTGAATTGAATTATTGAAATATAATGTGAATTCACTTATATAATTTATAATATAAGAAGTTTGTAAGAGTTAATTTTCTATGAAAATAATATGAACTCAAATTGTGAAATTTAAAAACTTTATATTTTATTTAATCGTATTACTTTTATTTACATTTTTAATCTTATATATTCACGTAATTTCCATGTATTACTTATAATTATATAAATATTTCTAATTATATGTATCAATAAAAAGAAAAATTACTTTTGATTTGATGTTTAATAATTTTAGCTCACATTTTGTAAATTGGTATACGAATGTAACATCAATGCCAATGTACAAAATAGATTGGCATACATTATATATATAAATATTTAATGTATTATATTCTTACACCATGTTGTCTAATTTTGTTACAATATTTTATATATGGAAAAAATTTTATAGTATAAGAAATTAATTGATTCATTAATTTTAAAGGTACAACGTATTTTAAGTGATATCAAACGCGAAACGATAAAAACTATAAAACATTCGCGTTTATTAAATGAAGATGAAAAAAGAATGGCTGAACGTAAAATTCTGAATATTAATGTTATCTTAGGTATTCCAGAGTCATTGAAAAATATTTCAATAATTGACAATTATTATAAAAAGGTAGGCTATTAATTAATTAATTATTTTATTATATAAATATTTTATATTATAATATTACTAAATGTCGACATTTGATATATATTATAGTTAAAAATATCTCAAAATTACTTTAGTAATATATTAAATTTACGAAAGTTTTATAAACTTAAGGAATTTGAGACCATGAAAAAAAATAAGTACAAGTTATCGTAAGTTTTCATCATGAATATGACATTTATAATTTAACATAATTTTTATACGCATTAATTTAATATTGTTATACTTATTTCAGTGAAAACAATAATTTTATGAAAATTACTACCATTAGTAGTATTGGGTCTGCTTATGAATTCTTCGATAATCGCGTTTGTAAGGAACTAATTACTAAAACTAGCATACATTTAAAAATTTGCATATAGTTTTCAGTTGTTTGAATTTTAGTGTAATATAAGTTTATTGTACATAAGTTCTTATATCTTACGAGCTGCCTACTTTCAATATATTTTCTTTTATTGATTAATATGATTATGAAAGCTTGTAGTTTATTATTTTTGTTATTTAACAAGATATTATTGATGGTGATAAAAATAACATTAGGAACACTAACATATAATATTAAACTATTTAATTTCTTAAAATAGCTAATTATTTTAAAGAATAGAGATTTAATTATATTAATTAAAGCGATAAAATAAAATTTTTTTTTAAAAACTGTAGATTATAAAATGCTTATATTATTTTATTTTATTTCACAAAATAATTATTTAATTTCTTTTGTTTGTTTTAGTAATTAAAGTAGAAAATTTTGTAGAACCATTATTTCATCCTGACTATCCAGAGTAAGTAATATATTTTATTTAACATATACCTTTTTAAATGTAATGTAAACTATATTATTACATTATAGATTCAAGAAATATGGAATTTTGGGTTTTATTATGGCTTATGAAATTATGCATGCCTTTAATGATGCAGGTATTTTATGTCCTTGAATTAAGTATAAAACTATAAATTTTGTTTTAAAATTATAAATAATTTATTTAGATTCTATTGAAAATACTAACCCCCGGCGTCGCATGTTTTCCGAAGAAACCAAACTAAAGTTTTGGGACAAAATGGATTGCTTTATAAATCAATTCGATAACTATTACATTGCTGATCCATTCGATTCAGGAAGACGAGTTTATGTAATAATTTTATAAAGATAAAAATTTTCTAAGTGCGGTACACGAACACACACATACACACACACGCATGTATAATTTTATATAATCGAGTTTATATATTAATTATGATTTTATATTTATTATACTAATAATATTCATTCAATATTTTTGATATTTTTAATCATCGAACGCCAAACTTGTATTATTACGTTTTGTTAAAGGTCGATGGTGAAAGGTCGGCGATGGAAAATATTGCAGATTCTGCAGCAATCAAAATAGCTTTCCAAGCATATTATGAAAGATCTAGAAAACAAGACATTTCATCTATCCAAGACGATGAAAATTTTTTTACTTCATTTGCTAGTGTAAGTAATTGTAAGCTTCTATTATTTTACATTACTGCGTGATTGCGATATAATACCAATTTAATTGTATTTTAATACATTGAAGACAAAGTTTTCTGATATTACAGGGATAGTTTTTTCATTCAAGCTATTAAATCGAGTTTGAATACAAGTCTTGAATAATAATTTTGAAGTATATCCAGATGTACGATATGTATACTTTTTTCTTTTGAAAAACTTCCGTTAATAAAAAATCTTTCATTTTTAAATATATGTATATTTCACATGTCACATAAGATATTTTGCTTAAAAATGATTATCATTTAATAATATTTGAACTTACTTTGATTATATTAGCTTTTATTTACACATCTAATGCTTAATAATAAATTCTTCTAGTTTATCCAAGTATTATCTTCTCTGTTTTAAAATATGTATGACTTATATATCTAATATTTGCTTTATCTATGGTATTATCATTGAGAAGCATACGAACATTTTTATAGTATGTTTATTTAATGATTAAAAAGTTTCCTTTTGCAATATTTAAAAGTATTGAGTAACTTTTTAAGATTTATGCTAAATGAAGTTATGAATACTTCTCTATCGTTATGTCCTTTTATTTCAGCTACTTTGCAGGCCGGAATTGGAAGAGTTTTATTTGAGTCGATTCAACTTAGCTCTTAGAACTTTGCCTCAATTCCGTATCATTGGATCTCTATCGAATACTAATGAATTTGCTAAAACGTTTTCTTGCTTGAGCGGAGACCGAATGAATCCTAAAAGGAAGTGTAACTTTTGGAATTAAATGTTCACGAGCTAAATCTATCCTATTATATTGCTTCGTTCATTTATTTTGGTTTCTGAAGGAAAAAATTAGGCATATTTTAACAGTGGAGTTAAGAAATTTATTATTATTTTTGAATTATTACATTAACGGTTAAACAGAAAAACTAGAATATTTTGAAGCTGATTAGATATTAAGTTAGGAATAATTATGTTTTTATGTTTAAATTAATAGGATAAAAAATATAGAATTCTGAATAATTTATAAGCTTAGAAACTAACTTAAATCAAGATAATGTTCAAAATTCATTATAATAATTAAATTATCATTATTTAAATAAATGTATACTTATTAATATATACTATTATTATGTAAACATCGATATATGTTTAAAGACATCTAATACGAATATGCTTATATAAGGAAATTACTTTATATAATAATTATTATATTATTATTATTATTTTTGTGGATAATTGATAATGAAATTCTGGTGAGCAATTTCGTTATAATTTGTAATATGTTCAAGGTGTGATTCGACCAGCGACATAAATTAAAATTGCATATTACATAAATTTAAAAATTGATTATTTTTATCCTTAAAGTTTAAATATTTATTAGTTATTTATAATTTAAAGAATCAAGGCTATTTTATCAAATCTTACACAACTGTTAGGTTGATGCTGAAAAGAAATGGAAATAAATGATGAGAATTGCAGCCTATAATAAATTAAATTTTCTAATAAATGAATGAGCATAAAGAAGATATGGAGGTATAAAGAGCGAAGAAGGTATACAGTGAGAATATATGAAAAATATATTGAAAGTATGAAGAATATAAAGTAATTTATATTCTCATGTATTATAAATAATATTCATTGTTTTTTATTACTCACTGATATTTATTATTATTACATTATTTATTGTTAATAATTAAGAATATTTGTTCAATACATTGAATAAATTTAATTAAATAACAGTCCCTTAATAATTTTTATTTTCAAATGTAAATTAAATGGTATCCGAAGAATCTTTAATAATAATATCCAATAAAATTTATTGTGTATGATTTTGGAAAGTACATTTTGAGGTATTGAATGGGTTGGTATAATTAAGGGGGAATAATTAAGGTAAATTCATCAGTTCGGAATAATTAAGGTAAATTCATCAGTTCGAAATAATTAAGGTAAATTCATCAATAAGGTTATTTGGCAATTGAACTTTTTTCAACTGTGAAACTTATTTACAAATCTATCACATGATTATCGAAAAAATTAGGTAATGTATCCGTTAGATATCACGGAAGTTTCGAATAATCAGTATTACCACGCAAAGGCAATGCGAGATATGATATGACGAGTTTTTCAATTACGAATTATGATTGTAAACTAGGATAAGTAATCATTATGCGTTGTGTTTAATGTGATGATAAGTATTCATTATGCGCTGTATCAATTATGATATCACGTATGATGACAACAGTAACAATTTAATCGCAAAAGTTTAATTTCTTTAGCTCATACTAATAAACAGAATTTTTAAATACTTTGGATATGCTAAACACAAACTTGGAGGTGTTGCTTATACCTGAGCCGGCACGTTGAAAGGCTGAATTGGCAGAAAGTCATGGTGCTTTCGAGGTTTAAAGATCCAGCATTGTAATTAAAAGCTCTAGGTGTTACAAGGCTATTGTCCTTGATAAATGCAGGATTACCTGTATAAAGCATAATACAAATTGAATTATAGTATATATTTAGTTATTACGGTAAATTATATTTTATTGTCTTCGATGGTCCTTAAATACGTGACAATTTGTTATTGAGTTAATAAACATTTTCGAGAGCGAGGGTGTCTTATATTAATATTAAAAGATTTTATGATAAATACAATCTTGTTTTTATGCTGGTATTTTATTAAACATTTACAATTACAAGTTAACAAACATTAATAATATTAACAAATTCATGCCTTGAAATTTTCTCGGTAATAATTTTGCACTGTTTTTTTTTAAATTATATTTCAGTGTTGAGTAACAATGTGGCACTAAATAATATAAATGATTATGTAGAGGTCAAAAATAATTTTCGGAAACGACCATTTTTAATTCATGTATTTATATTGATGATCGTAATAAATTAGATGTAAAATTTTTTAATATATCTCCATGCTTTCGTTTAATCAAAAAATTAATCAATTTTTTATGATGTTTTATAAACGATCTATTATCATGCAAACCAATGAAGTGTACATTCCATCATTATTTCCGCATTTACCAAATAATAGTTAAATTATTAGTTGATTTTATTACATGTAGGCATAAATTTATAATGAAATATTGAAATTTTAAATTTAAACTGATCGAGAGTTTTCATTATTCTAGCAATATTTATTACGAATATATGCATAAATATAAAGATTTTTGAGTCATATTATTATGATTCGAAGTCAGCGATTATATAAAAAAGTACGATTTCGAAATGCCTTTCGAACTATTTCGAAATGACCAACCAATACAACTCTACTTTTAGTTGAAATACACGGTGAATGATGAAAATTAAAAAGAGCTTATATATTATAAAAATTCATGAAGATTATGGACTTTTATATAATTCGTATAATAAGAGTCAGCACTGTCTCCGGTTCGAGTATACACCGGAGTCTATAAAAATGGATAACAACAGGGGTTTAAAAAAATACTTAGAGGCCAATTGATTGGCACTCTGCCCTAAGAATATTTTCCTTTATTTTTACGATTTATATAACTGCTGACCAAAAGTGTACATACGAAGTCGCTTGCAAAATACTCTTTGGCTTTTTACACATTCGCGCACATACACGCCGGTATGTGACACAGTGACAGAGAGGAAGGGGAATTGATAAGGTGAAGCGGATAATTCAGCGATATACGCACGTACTCCCTTACGTATTCCTGTGGTCGTGGGTTGCCGCTGGAAATAAAGTTTAATTGTGCATAAGCGCCTTTGGATCGCGTTCAATTCACTCTCAGTTCGATTCATATTATTCAGAATTGCTCACGGATATATTATTTTGTGTGCTTTCAATTATTTTGGTTTTTAAGGAAATATATCACATTTGCTCCGGATGTGTTTGCAATATTCATGAATTTTCATATTCAACTATTGTTAGTTGAAATATTTTTAAGCTATTCTAATCGAGTAGTTGTTATCAGAAGAATATTATATAATACTATATCAATATATTAGCAGGTATTTTGTCAGGTATGTAAGGAAAAATAATTTTCATCCTTTCATCGTTAATGTGACTGTAACTTGCACTTTGTTATGGATTATGTTAGATATTATTGAAAAATGGTGTGCATGCAGATTTGTATTATCGATTAATGTCTTAATATTATTACAACGTTGTGTAGTATTACCTGTATCGTATTATTATAGTTTTATTATTTAATGCTTAATTCTACGCCAGTATTTAATATATCTGCTGACATTATCTGAAACTGAAACGATCGAATTAACAATTGTACATATTATCATTTTTATTCATGAACTCACTATTTCTCAATTCAAGCTTCTTATTCTATACTTATTCAATTTTATGTTGTTCTTGTTGTTGTTAATAAGTAAAAAAAAACATTGATCATCTGAATTTCATTGAGGTATGGTGTCCATTGCAAGCCATTATTATTACTTATAAATTGAAAAAATTAAATGCTTTCCAATACTTGATATGGAATAAAATAAGCGTATAAATCCTTTGTGGAAACAAGTTTTTCCGCCGTAGCTCGTTTTTCATTAATGCCATCGGCATTTTTCGCCCGGCTACTTACGTATTTATCCCTACATATAAGAATGATGGGGAATGGGTGAAAAAGCGCGATCGCTGCCAGAAAAGTAGTCGGGGCGATTGTACGTAAAAAACTTATGGCTTCCGCACGTAAGCGATGCTCGCCCGGGCGCGTCTATTTATTGGCATTTGATTTACGCGTGATGGGAGTCTCAGCGCTTATAACTCGATTTCCCGTGCCAACTTTCTTGTTTACCCTGGACGGACGACCCTCGGCGTTTCCTGGGTTCCGGCGGCTGCGCACACCGGAGAGTGTCAGGGATGCTTGATCGGCTGCACGCAACAAACGGAGCGCGACTATGCGATCGCGACAACAAAACAAATGAAAGCTCCGAGTACCAGAATGCTTGGTAATCGTAGGCTGGAGTACCTTTCAAAGAAGCTGATTCGTCGATGTATAAATCAACTGAGGGCTCGATATTTATGTGCTTTGCATTGAAATTTAGATTTTCATTCCTCTTACTTACGGATTCCGAACTTCTATTAGGAATATTGTTGTTTCAACTTATGATAAATAGTTTTTGTAACATTTTTTTATTCCACTCATATCTTCATGTAAATATGAGCATGTGTAGGTTGTTATGACTCATAATTACGTTGATATATTATTATATATGTTTTAATGTGAGAGGGCATTTTTAATTGGCCGTTATTTTAATACTTCAGCTTATTTATCCTTCGAACGTGGAAAAGTTTATAGTTTTAATCAATGTATCAAGCCAGCGATTTGTTTAGCTACGAATTTATCATAGGATTAAAAGAAAAAAGCTTTGTATGTAAGATCTAACTATTTATACGAAACAACTATCATATCATCATAAAAAGTATGAAACTTTTTCCTATTTAATATCAATGCATCAATGTGATTTAAATAAACAATTTATGGAGTTAGGCAATTACAATATTGATATTGATAAAATTAAATACCATGCACGTATAATAATTTCAAATAAAATAACATTCTAATTCACATAATTACTTGCAAAGCACATTTTCTCGACATGTATGACACTATTAAAGATGCACGTACTCACGCGTACATTCATAACTGGAATGAAAGAACTATAATAAAAAAGTGTGGGGGTAAGTGAATACGACGCTCGATAGGATGTAAAGCAAGATTTTAAAATAATCTATTAATTATAAAGTAGTGTTGAGTATCACACGCGAAATCGAAATTGACGCGCCACGAGTCTAATTATTTCCTGCAACCTACTAACGACCAATTTCCTCGTGACGCCTTTGTGTTGATGAAATTGTTCCGATAAGATTGTTAAGAGGCTTGGGTCGTAACAGACATACCGAGTTTGTAGATGTGGCAGCCTTAATTAGCACACTCGCGAAGAGCAAATAATATTTAGGCAAAATTTTTCGGCTTTGGCGGGCTTGGTTATCGTGACAAGCGACTATATGTTGTGTGCGATTTTTTATGTAAGGAAACGTTCTTGTATTGTTCAATGAAGTGTCTACAAGAAAACTTTTGTGAAACTGCTGATTTAACATTCTCCCTCAAGCTGGATAAATTTTTAATTTTTCAACTCTCTCGCGAAATCGAGGAATTAAAGCTACTTTACAGTAGTGGTAAATAAATAAAATAATATAGTGTAAATATTGATATTACATTGCACCATTGAATTTTCAACTTAAAGCATAATCTTGTATAAAAAATGCAGGAGTCAAATTTATAAAATTCAACGATGCACTTGACTAATTTGAATTAAATTGACACAATTAGTTTATTTGAGAATTGAAATGACCCTAGGTGAATGGAAGAATATTTGCCTATTTAAATTCATACCCGTGCACGTACTCGGAAGATGTAGAATGCTAGGAATAATTATTTTTTAAAATTTATAACTCGTTCATATTTAGTAGAGCATGCGTTTGAGCGTATTTATTGCAAATTCAATGCATCTAATGTAACATTAGGCGCACACAACAGGTGTTGCACACACCTCACGAAATACTGTCTGTTGACTTTTTCGTGCAATAACACTCGCGCGAAATCGGATTTGGCTCCGTAAATCCATTAATAAGCTGGTCCCATATAAATCAGCCCATTTACTTTTTGGTCAGCGATGACCGCCGCCACGTAAATTCATCCCCGGGGTAAGAACCGGATGCGCGAACTGTCTGGGAGCATTCATTAGGGTGGGAGCGGCTTTTTCAGTCCAGGTTGCATATAACGCCTCTTAGGAATTGGAATGGGTTGTACAGGGTTTTGCGACGATCCTTCAAATTTTACATCAGAACGTAGAGCCTTGCTACACTCGGTGTAATCGCACTTTTAATTAATGAGAAATAATCGGCTTGGAGTTATAGGCTCGTTCTTATTTATCACTGACCTTGATTTTGTTTTTTTGTTTTTTTTTTTTATCTACTGACGTAAAAAACTTACTCAAACTTGACAGTGCATTAGATGAATACTATTTTCATAAATTTGATATAATTAAAAAAAAATAAAAATTTAATTATGTTAAATCGTACGTTTTATTTCTTTTCTTTTTTTTTGTTGAAAGATATGAATGATATGTTTGAATACATCAGAGTAATATGGATGAAGTTAGTCAAGTGAAGATGTATTGTGTCGCTTAAAAAATCTTGGAACTTCAAAAATATATAACCATCACAGACCCAACAACATGCTGAAAATATATAATTATAATTTTATAATATATAATAATTCACAATAACGGAATTACTGACCCATTAAACAGCATAATTTATAATTATCAAATGTAAAAAGTATTTATTTAAAATTGAATTACATTGTTGTTGGTGTAAAAGAAAATCAATAAAAATTGAAACATAATTGATCATGTATTTTTATTGATTTTTGTTTTGTTCTGTACTTGTTAAATTGAAAATATTTTTATTGTTATCAGGATATTCAATATAATTTACAGTTCAGATATCGTTAGTTATCATTATAGTATGAAACAACCATAAAAATTACACTTTGCACTTTGAAACGAATTAGCGTGATCAACTTAGTAATTTTGAAAAATTCAATATTCAAAATTTTCCTCTTCAGTGCCAACTACTTTATTATATAATATGAAATAAATTTCAATGACATCGTACGATTTGATGAATGTTTGATAGCAAATTCAATTAAAGGTATTCATAATTAATATATTTTGAATTATTTTCTGAACAAAACAATTTTATAGGCGTTATTAAAATAATACTTTTTGTAGAAAACAAATACATAAAATAAATATTTAATATTTTTATATCTTTCATTTCGGTTTATTAACATGCAGTATTAAATAATTACGAAACACAAAGCATTTCCATAAAATGTTTTTTCTCATCAGTTTTTTCTTACGTCAATGCATTAAAGGAGTAGTTTTTTTTTAGTGATTATTGAGTAAGTGTTGGTGAAGCTGGATGACTTGGATCATTAATAGGTAAAATATAATAACGCAGCCGATTCAGTATTCTCTGGAATTCGGCGAATTCAGGTACATCTTCTGGAATATAAGTATCTTCATACCTATTCGTGATTGCGTGCCACTGATTAATTTCATATTTATGCTGGCATAATTGAACAGCTCTACATTTCAGCTCTTGTTCGGTCCTTTTGGATGGAAAACTTTCGAGCATTTCACGAAATATGTGTTCTGTTTCTAATTTATCTAGCGATGCGCTCTTATCATGTAAATATCGAATAAGAAAATTGTCCTCTGCATTTGTAAAATAAACAATATCGTTTGAAAATTCAGTGTTATACTTTGGCATGTCCTCTCCATGTTTTTGGAAATAATCTAACACACTGTCTAAAGCCATTTGTAAATTAACAAGATTTTGTGGATCCCATTTACGTAGACGGTTTTGGTTTAGCACTTTAGATATGTTTCTATAAATAATAAGTACATAAATATAGTAAGCAATGTTAATAAAAAATAATACATATATATCATGATATGCCGCTTTTAAGTAAATAAATAAATCATTAATTATATCTATTTAATTAATTAATTTTAGAGTAACGTTCTATGAAAAATAGGTAATAATTATTATTATTATTATTATTATTATTATTATTATTATTATTATTATTACTGTTATTGTTATCCAATTTAAATACTCCGTTATGTACTGTTCTTTTCTTTGGAGAAAAAAAATTTATTGTATGGTAAACATGAAATTTAATGAGTAGAATTAAAAATAAATTATTGTTTAATGAAATGTATAAGTGAAATTGACGTATACTATCGTTTCTTCTATCGCGATCATTCTATACTTTTATGTTTAACGTAAAAAAAAACAATACTCAGAATATTTGTAAAAAAGAGAAATTAGGATTTAATATTTAATAACTACCTATTTCTGAAAGGCGTTTTAAAATAAGGTCCTTTATCATTTTGTTGGTTTTCTTGACGTTCCATTTAATTTATAACAACTTCCTTTAGCTAACTATTAAACATATCAATAAAAATTAAATTAATAATGGTGAGATTGAGAACACAGGGTTAAATTCATAAAAAATCTTACGGTTATATTCTAATTATCATTGTACTTATATTGTAAACATATTGTACTATAGACGAGATCGGCATACTAAGGGTGTGCATTAGGAAAATAATGCATTTAGAACAATTTTCAAATGACATTGCGGTTGCAATAAAAATTGAAGTTGTAAGATAATGATTATTGTAATGTTATTAAATAATTGGATTGTTTGTTAAATATATGGAAAATTTTTTGTACAATATTACGTACACACTGATTCTCTAATTTACGCTAACAATGACTATTTATCAAGATCAGAAATTTCTTATTATAAGATAAACGATTGCATTATTTTAAAATTGACACTAAATAACGTGGCAATCTAATTTTTATACAATAATAAAACTTTTTATTAAATTCCATTTTTTACAAGTTGCATAAAACTCGAAAGTATAATTTGCTTTGAAATACGTAAACTCTCTTAATTAAAAAACATCACTTATTTGTTTCATAAATTTATTAGATAAATTAAAACATATTAATTTTGTTAATAATCAAATAAAGTTGTCAATTTCAAACATATGAAGAATATTGAATTTTATATATCATCATGCACTTTTATAATTTAATATCGCATGTACGAATCGTTAAAAGTTATTTAAAGTAAGCATCTTATACGAGGCATTTGTGAAAACATAAAACTAAATGTGTTTACCGAAGCCAGTAGAAAGAAGTAAATATTTGTGACTGAAATTCAGAGTATTAGGTATCGAAGAATTTTTTTTCTTGGGATCAGTGGATGAAACACGAACCGCCACAATATATGTAATATGAGCAGTGCAATGGCGTTTTCGATCTTATATAGGTATATACGTAATAGAATGCACATTTCTCTACCTTTTCTATATTTATAAACTATACATACTTTATTTCATTAGATTTGATTGAAATCAATAACTACAAAACTAATCTTTTAAAGACAATTTTTTTATACGTAAAATTAATGTCGAAATTAAGACTATTATACTTACTCAGTATATTTTATTTCTTTTTGTTAATGATCTCACTTGTGGCCTAGTTATTGCTAAAATAATTTCCTTTTTTTGTTTGTAGCAATACTTTAACAATATATCTATACGATTAATAATATATTTGACTCTCTTCTATTGAGCACTAATTGATGAAATTTTATAGAAAAATTTGAAATTTGAGTGGCAAGCGAAGTAACAAATTACGCTGTCTCTCAAATATTTAATAAAGCACACTATTATTTGAACAAAGTTCAATGGGATCTAATACCTTATATTACTTGGTCGTGCACGTCTATATTGTCTTAGCAGTTGAAATTTCTTGCCAACTGTGAAAACGCGATGCGAGGTCCTGACAACAAAAGAAAGAGAAACATTTATAAAGATAAACACTGCTTGAAAGAACTCTATGTGATTTTTGTTCATCGTGTCGGCAACATTGAAAACAATCGCATGCGCAATCCAATAATGTATATCGTATGTAACGCGCCCTCGTGGCAGTCAGCGACGTATTAAGCGATTGTAAATTTGATATAAAAAAGCGATGAATCTATATTGTTAATGAAGATTCTGTGACTATGGGGCTATACAAAGAGCATTTTGTTGCAAGATTTTAGTAATAAAATCTGGGTATTACTATCGAAAATTCAAATATTTACAGGCATTTTTTGCCGCAATAGCTTTGTAAAGGATTCAATGGTTATTATTTAATTTTTCTTTTATAATTGCATTTCTATTATACATGATTGTCATAAAAGAAATTGATTATACCGAGCTACCAGGTATCGATCATATCGATGAAAACCCTAATTGTGTAAGTGAACAAATGACTAACCAATAATAAAAAATATATATTATTTATTATCAAATTTCATATAAAAAAAAAAATATATATATACACATATATATATATATATATATATATAACAAGCAAAAAGAATGTGTGGATTTCATGAGCGATCTTCTATAAGACTTCTATAAGACACTGATTTACATATGTAAAAACATGATTCCCTCGGGTTTCCACGCATAAAATTTCTTATTATCGTATTATTGACAAAATGTCTCAATTCTATATTTATTCACAAATATTAAAAATCAAAATATTTCTATTTTTATTTCTCTATTTATTTGCTTGTTTATTTTATTACAATAGCCTTTTATTCTCCACGGTCGTTTATAAATGTTATATTTTTTTAATATATACTTCTATTGCTCCACGCTTCCAAATCTGTGCACGTGTTTGTATGAAAAGAGAGAGAGAGAGAGAGAGAGAGAGAGAGAGAGAGAAATTGTCAGAAAAGAAAATTTATGTCTGCATCACGGTTAGCATTTTTAATTCCTGTTTTATAAGTTGAATTAAATAAAATTAATATAAATATTATGAAGTTCATAAGGCAATTATTTTATCAAAAGCCTTACATGATAATGTGAATATTAGTGGTGTGCCAACTTAATAAGCTTTGATCCTTTGATTATCATTCGATGTACAATCATTAATCACTTCTGTGAATTAAGTATTTCTGGGGATGCCCAATAATAAATCCCTAGAGCTGCTCTAGAGAGAGTTTCATTTCTGATTTCTGACGAGTGACGAAGCAGCGTCTTTAAGCGCACGTTCACACTAGTCTGCGTTAAAACGCAGACATGGTTTGAGGCTTGGCGCCTGGCCATCGGGGGTGTAAAGATCGAATTTGTCTTATTGTGTTAAGATTGAATCTGTGATCTGCTTTTTTATCTTTGCCACTGGGAGTCAACAGTTTTTTTTTCTTTTTTTTTTATAGAAAGTTAGTGGCTTGATTTCAGTGTGTTAACTAAAAGTCTTTTCTACTAATTAAATTATGATCAATATTATCGGCTCGGGTATGATAAGTTTGGAACGTAAAAGTTAAAATTCACTCGTGTTTCATCGAGCAGCTGAGATTTCTTAAGACGAGGTATTAAAAAGAGCCTTTGCGTGGGCTACAACTTGGAACTTCGACGTGGTTTTTATCCGGAAGCTAAGGTGAAAATGTACTTGCGTTCGATCACACAGATAAATAATATTAGGAAGTTGCTCTGACGAAAATTCCAGTGGTCCCTACGTATATCTCCTAGCCAAAGTTAGTTAAATAAAGATAAAACGAAGTGTGGTGGGGGTGGGGCTAGCTCACTTGTACTGTATCAACATGACATACTCCATGAGGACCAACAGCACTTGGGTGAAACTTTCGAAGTGGTGGAAGCCGCAAAGTGTCAGAAGGGGAAGATCATTCTGCGCGAGCCGCTTCATCGCTTTAAATAAACTTCCATGTTAAACTACGCTATGATATCGACTTCAAAGTTATTTCAACCTTCAGCTAGTATGCTTGTTATGAAAATGTTTCCCTTCGTTTTTCTCCGTGCGCAGCGCGAATATGTAATAATTTGTTGCTCGATGTTTGCGAAAGCTGTAAGTGCTAGTTTGTTCAATGTAAATATAGAATTTTGTTTAATGAATTTAGTTCCTTATTGCACTAAATGCATTTATAATGACGTAAATTTATGATGAATACATAGCAATGTCTATACCGTTAAATTTCGAATAAAGATTTATGGCATAATAATATGAAATTTAAAATTAAAGTTTTTGATAATTTAATGATAAATTGTGAAGATTCATAATTAAAAGGTAACGCTGCAATTCTAATATCTTTAGTGTTAAAATAAATATCATAGTTCTTTATAATTTTATAATGTAAATATGTATAATATATATAATATAATCATGAGAAATATTGGAAAAATATCAATGTTACAATAATAAGTAATAATAATAATTTTAAAAGTCTGATTATTGTAGTGTGATTTAAGATTAAAAATTATAGGTTGAAAAAATATATTAAATCTTATTTGTTGAAGAAAAATGTTCCGAATGGCACTCGTATAATACTAATAATAATTATGAAATGTCACTATCTCAAACAACTATTTATTATTCTAAAAATAATATTATAAAATATTACCCGTTAAAAAGCATATTTATTAATTAATGTTAATTTAAATTTATTTATAAATATTTAAATCATTTGAATATATATTGAATATACGGCGGATTAAAACTGACGCACTGTATTTAAATTCGAATGCAGCTATGTTAAAAAAAAAAAATCAGTTATGATCAATGACGTTGAGTATTGCTTGAAAATAAAAATACCTGTACATTATTTATAATTTTATGGATATTCATTATAAAATATGGAGAAAAAAATTCAACAATTTTATTTGAATATATTTAATCCTATAATTCAATTGTCTCTTTATTTTATATTTTAAATAAGAAAAGCCCATAAAGTATCAACCAGGCTTTTTAAATTGGGTGTACTTATCTCTCCAATTACCTTTATACGGGTTAAAATCCTTCTCATTTCTAGTGAACTACTGTTTTATTTTTTTATTTATACGCTCATTGCCCGTTGTCTCTTATATTTTTCTTTCGATTTTCGTATCTCTTTTATGAAATTAAACAGTCTTACATATTGTACATATTGAGGTTATGTTAATCAAATAAATATCACATTTATCTTTTGTACATTAATTACTAAACTAACAATGAACTTTGGTAAACTTTGGTAAGCATGTATGATCTTAAATTGACTTACAAAGTGTATTAATAGTCCCTATATCTAGTATCCAGAATCACTCACGTAGATACAGATCCACAAATATAACAAAGATGAATCGTTCTGTCATCTTTTTTGATAATTGCATTTGTTAATATACTCGAAACATTATTTAATTCGAAAGTTATTCGAAAAATCTTTGGTGAATCGAGTACGGCCTTATTCGTCGAATCATATATCGATCAGCTTCAGTCTTCTTAAAGTTTTATTTCTTCAACTCTACGTTCATATGTGTACTTATCTTGAATTCGTAAATTGTTGTATTTTTGCCATTAAATATTCGTGTGTA